CCCCCCCCGAAGTTGGGCCCCAACTACGTTAGTGCCACTATGATTCTAGGGTCCTTGAGAGCCATTTTTCCATTTTTTAAAGCGATTCTTTGAAGTTAAAAATTTTTTTTTTAATTCTTAGCAGATTTCTAGCACTTTTCTAAGCGAAAAATCAATATTTTCCTCTTTTTTGAGGTCTTTTTTAGCTTCAAAATCTCAATTTTTATGGTCCCGAAGCCCTTTTCGAGCGATTTTTCGAAGTTTTCTTCGTTTTTATATGAATCTTCTATATATTTTTCTACACATTTGGAATCTTTCCAAAAAATACAATCATTTCCGGCGCTCACCATTTCGCCAGTAAATACATGTTTTGCGAGCTTCACAACTGCAAAATGCCCTTGTCCAATCGTTTTCTCCAAATCATAAAGACCGGCGATTCGGGTGTCGCGAATGTGTAGAGACGTTTTTCGGCGGAGCGCGCCTGTTTCAGGCGCATTTGACATGCCTAAAATTTCAAAAATTCAAATTTTGGTTAAAAAATCGGGTAAAAAATTGTTTCAGAGGCAGGAAAATGTGAGAAGAAATCGAGCGGAAATTAGGTTGCCCTTGTTGAAAAAAGATGCCAAAAAATTACAAATTTTGGTTCGGCGGGAAATTCAAAAAAAAAAATTAAAAATCGAGAAAAATTTTTTGAATTCAGTGAAAAACTTTAGTTTAAAATTGGGAAAAAAATGCCGAAAAAAATTTTTTTTTCAGGTTTTTTGGCGGAAATCTGAAAAAACGACAAATTTGAGATACAATTGAGAAATCCTATCAATTTTGCAGTGAAATTTGGAATTTTCGAGTTTTCAGAGCAAAAATTCAAAAACTATATACAAACAAAAAACTGAATTTTTTCGCCGATTTTTCTCAATTTTCAATCCAATTTCTCTTTTTTTTCCCCTCGTTTTCAAATCTCAAAAACCCCCTAGCAAATGAAATGTTTCTCGAGAAAAGATCTTTTTTCTCTAAAAAAACCAAGTTAACCCCTCAAAAGAAGACTTCACAAAACACGAAAAATTTTCGCATTTTTTTCTTGCCCCAAAGGCAAAAAGAACGGGTTTTCCAGGCCGAAAACGGGGGGCCAAAAAGTAACATTTTGTTGAGAGCGAATTCCTCTCTTCGTCGTCTGCGTCTCTCTATACCGTACACTATTTCGCCGCATTCTCCTCTGCTCAAGTTGATTCTCAATAGAGCGCGATTGGTGCGATGGTCTCATGGGATCGGAGGCACGAGTTTGGGCTTATTTAAGGGATGGAATTGAGGGAAAAAGAGAAAAAAATAATATAAAATTTTGTATAGAAATTTTAATTTTAAATAGAAATTTTACAATATTTTTTTATTTTTTCGAAGGGTGTTTTTTTTGCTAATGGATCTAAAAAAACCAGAAAGCTAGAGAAATTTCAGTGCAAGAAAAAAACTAATAAAAGAACGACCAGATGTGTGTGTGTGTGTGCGTTAAAAAGATGAGCAATGTAAGGGGAGATAAGAGGAATAGGGGAAGAAAAAAAGAAGAAGGAGAACATCTGAAGTGTCGGGGTCAATGGGGTTTAGAGGAAGAAGAAGGAAGGATGTGAATATTATTAGAAGAGGATTTTCTTTATTTTGTTGTAACATTTTGCGATTTTAGAAAGTTCGAAAATTCAGGATTTGAAAGTTTTGAATTGCATAAATAGAGCGATTCAGACAGTCTAAAAGCCTGGATTCCGAAAATTCTAAGAATTTGGAGCCTTTCAGACTCCAAAATCGCTTCTAAAAGTGAAAAAAAAAATTAGCAAAAAGCCGAAAAAAGAACAAAACCACAATGAGTTTCCACAGGTCCTGGGCGCGCATACGCATAATGGATGGGCGACGGAGGACGCGCCGATGAATTGGGTACAGGGAAAGGACGCCGGTATGGGGCATATACGGGGCATATGGGGCACACCGCCGCCGCAAAGCATCTCCTCGCCTGGCTTGCTGGCACTCGATGAAATGAAATAAAACATTGGTTGGGGGTTCCTAGAAGTATCAGTTAAGTTCTATTGTGATGTGATTTTGTTCAGGTCTTCCGATTTCGTACTTTTCCTTTATTATTCCATATTCTTTTATATTTTGAACGACATATTACTGATTTTTCGAAACTCAATGTTTTGGTTTTGAAAAAGACTTATGGCAGTTTCCATTTAAATTTGATATGCAATCAAAAACAGAACAAAATGGGAAAAAATTCGCTAAAAATTGTTTTTTTTTTCATTTGTTCAAAAAATGTCTCACTTTCACTTTTTTGAAATTGCACGAAAAATTGAAAATTTTCATAATTTAAACTTTGTAATTATTTTATACTTACCAACTTACCTTTTACTCCACCTGAAAATACGATTTTTACAATAATTACAAAGTGAAATCAAAAAATCTCAATATCACCTATTTTGGCGAAAAACATAGCAATTAACGAGTGAAAGACATGTTTCTGCAAGAACTCAGCGATTTTTTATTCTGCCATAACTCTTTTTCACAAAAAACATCGAAGGAATAATCGAAAAACCAGAAATGTAGGCTCGAATTGACGAAAAATTGACAAAGTTGCCGGTGTGGATTTACGGTGCGCGCATCCGGGATTTCGGAGTGTTGTAGTCGGCCTACCGTATCAGACCCATATCGCACACATCGCCCACCCACCCAGAATTCATCTAGGATACGCGCGCATTCGGAACACTCGATTCAGCCTCTCCCGCATCGCACACATACAGTACTGGCCATAAAGAATGCGACAACTTGTTTTTTGAAGATAACTTTTTGAAAACTCAACTTTTCAATCCGAATTTTTGGTAAGATTTTTTCAGCACTATCAAAAACTTTTAGGCTAAGTTGGTTTTAATATTCTGCTACAATTTTTTTGAAAATTAATTTTTTTCGAAAATTCATGAAAATGACATTTTTGGAGATCTATACAAAGAAGCTCAAGAAACACCGGAGGTCAAAAACAAAATAAAGGTAACAATAAAAAGTGATTTAATATTTCGTTGGGTATCCTTTCGCATCGATAACAGCCTTGCATCTACGTGGCATCGACTCCAGGAGCGTCTGAACCACCGTCATCGGGATACTCTTCCAAGCAGCTTCGAGTTGAGCAAACTTTTGATTGGCATTGGATGCTCTGACTCCTTTGAGGCGGCGTTCCAGCTCCTCCCACATATGCTCGATGGGATTCAAGTCTGGAGATTGACTTGGCCATTCTAGGAGGTTCACACGGTGACGTCTGAACCAATTGGCGACATGACCCGAAGTATGCTTCGGGTCATTATCCTGTTGGAACACCCACGATCGGCCCAAATTTGCTCTTGCCCATGGTCTCATTGTGTTCTCCAGGATGTCTTCGTACACATATCGATCCATGGTTCCAACGATTCTCTTCAATGGTCCCATAGAAGTGTCGGAGAAGCATCCCCAAACCATCACAGATCCACCTCCATGTTTCACAGTTGGACATTGGTACTGTGGAGCATACCTGGAGCCAATGGGACGTCGAATCCACTGAATACCATCAGTTCCGAACATATTGAACTTCGATTCATCGCTCCAGATGTGATTTGCCCACTCACGGGGGCCCCAGGACAAGTGCTGTTTAGCCCATTCAACGCGAGCTTTTCGGTTTTTCAAACTGACGAGTGGTTTTTTGACTGGTCTTCGTCCGTGCAGTCCAGCAACTTGCAAACGTCTTCTAATAGTTCTTCTCGATGGTACCGGTTCATTTGGAGACGTCACAGAAAGTTGAATATCCGTAGATGTGCGTCTAGGATCTTCTCGGCATGCGCGCAAAATGTTCCGATCCATATTTCTGGAAGTGGTTCGGGGTCTTCCTGGAGATTGGCGATGAACAACGCCATTCTAAATTGTTAAATTTAGTTGAGAAAGCTGATTGAAACCTCACATCATCTCGATTTTTCTTCAGAATACGGTAAATTTGGCTGGAAGAACAACTAAACTGAGTTGCAAGTATCTTCGGATGCGCGCCGAGTTCATGACCACGCACAATGCTTTTTCGCT